TATCGCAAATGTATTTTTTAATTAAAATGTTGAAAATTGATATTTTTAAATAATTTTTAAATAAAAAATAAAAATGGTATTTTTAAATAAAAAAATTAAAAATTAACATTTTTATTTAAAAATAGACAACATTAATCTCATTAAATAAAAAAAAAGTATAAATTTAACATTCTTATTTATACCTTATTCTTTTATATAGCCTAGCTGTTTAATTACTAAATAATTCTAGAATTTATTAACGTTAAAGTATATATGTATCATATCATACCAATATTAGAGTCACAGACATCAAAATGTTTGATCCTAAAGATGCAAATAATCTCTTAATAATTATATACTATGATAGAATGATTCAACCGGATTGCTCTTTTACTGGTTCTAGTAATTTGTGAAAGACTTCCCATCCAGTACTCTTCTGTTATATCTCAAAATAATTATCATTTTTTATTTAATTTTTTAAAATTAAGTATTAGGTTTTTAAAATTTAAGAAAGAAATAACTAACTTATATTTATCCCTTAACTTTTTAATTATCTACCCTATTACTATTTTTTTTTATCTTTTTTAAAAGATAATATATATACATAAAAAATTTTCAAAATTTTAATTTATGAAAAAAATAAAAAAAATAACAATTATTTTAAAACAATTAATTAGTATATAAAATTTTTCCCAAGCAAATTTGAACATGATTCATCTTAGAAAGGAAAGCCCGACCTACTCGATGCATCGAAACCATTAATATTAATCGGATGCATTGAATCAAATTTGCCATTTATTATCTTTTTTTTGGTCAATTGATATTTATCATATTTTTTGCCCAGATGTCATCTAACATATACGTATGAATATATACTCAAGAATAGATATCCAATTAAGAACTACACAATCCTTTTAAAAAGAATTAATACATATATTAAAATATTATGTATTAGGCCCTACTTCCATAAAAAAAAAAAAAATTAAAAGTCTCAATTTTAAAAACACTAATCTATAATGAATATTTTAAAAAGATAAGTGTTAGATTTAGTTTTATAGTCACATAGGTTATGTTCGTCAATTTTTAAATTTATTGAATATAATAACTAATTCATTAATTATAGAAAATTTATTATCATTAAATATATATTAAAAAATAAAAATTTTTTAATTGAATGATTATAAATGTTAGACTAACTTAAAAATTGACATGTGTAATCTGTATAAATAAAAAACCAAATTTAACAGTCAATTTTTAAAAATATTTATTAGAAAATAATATTTTTAAATTAAAATTTTAATTTTTTTTATAAAATTTAATACTGATACATATTATTTATGTATATGTATATTATTATCTACCAAGCTGGACCTAATTAATCCTCATCAGAACATGGGGGCCCTCACTGGGACTCCTTTCCTTGTGTGCTTTATTTTTTTACTTTTCAAAGCTGGTAATAATGGCAGATACCTTCCTTCACCTTTGAGACTGCGCAACAGCGGATTGCCATTAGCCCTGGTTTCTTCCCTCTGTTCATCTTCATGTATGGCTTTCACCTGTCAAGAAAAAACCAGATTATCAAAGAAATTAAATCTCCTGTTCATTGTTTTCTTAAAAAAAATAATTTTCTAAGTTTTGTTAAATATAAAGATTGACAAATTTTATTGGCTTTTTGTGGAAAATTCTGTTCCCCTGCATTTGTTAATTTAAGCCACTCAATTAAATTAGATAGGATTCATTTACACAAAATTTACACAAAATTATAATAATTGATTTTTTATTAATAGTGATTGAGATTTATCATAATTTTTATTTTAAAACATTATTAA